GTGCTACCAGGTGAGAGGTTGGTCGCCCCTGGAATCCCAGTTGCGGTACCGCCAGAGGCGCTCGGCGGTGTGACCTACTGATGCGGGAGGTGGGACCAAATCCTGTGTGCGGTGGCACCGGGTGGGCTTGGGGTAGCACCACGCGAGGGACCAGCCAGAGACAACCGGCGCGGTAGCACCAGAACACGGAGCCAGTCTGATCATGCCGTGGTAGCACCACAGCAACGTGGTTGCACCCCGACGGTGCTACCTTCACGCAGTGCCCGAGGTCTGTGTCTGTCTGGTCGCACCAGGGATCCAAGTGGTGCTACCTGGCATGCTGACGCCCCGTGGTCCGGACCGCATGCTGGGTGGTAGCACCATGCAGCTGATGGGTCCTACATTCCAGCTGGGTAGCACCCGATGCCACCTACGTGGTGACACCATGCAACCGATGGATGTACATTTCAGCTGGTAGCACCCGATGCCACCCAGGAGGGTCTTACCATGGCACCCCATGCGACGTTACCGCCCTGGTGGCACCAATAAAAACGTGGACGCTTGATTCTACCAGCTTGTGATGCGTCCACAACCCGCCCGCAATTAAGGCCAGGCTCCTAAACCACCGCTCGTATCGCGTTGTAGCTCCTGGGCGTGATGCAAGGCTTAATTCTACTAAGTCCCACTAGTTAGGGGATGATGCCAAATAGAGCAAGGCTTCTTGCTTATGAAAGATTCCCATACCTTCCTTTTTGGTCAGTGAAAGCCAGGAGCACAACACGATAGAGCGGCTGGCCAAACTTGTAATTTGAAATCGCGGCACATCTCGGCGCACTCGCACGGCTTTGTCGGCACGCTCAGAAACCTACCGTACGGTCTCCTCGACACACCATTCAACAACCCATTTTATTTTCATGAAGTGCCAGCGTACTTTGACATCATCGCGACACATGTACATGGCATCTCGAGCTTCATCGTCGACAGCTTCTGCATCAAACTTATCACATAAATGGACCGAAGAACAAGTGCGCGCTGAAGTAGAGAAGAAGTTTGGAGTCCGGGCTTGTCGTTGGCAGATACAGGTCGGGTTGGCCTTGCGAGAGGGCCGAGATGTGGTCACTGTTGCTGCTACAGGTCAAGGCAAAACCTTGTCTTTTTTCACAAAACCGTCGAGGACATCATCAGAGAGACACATTGGCGCTCGGATCACGCCAACACGTATAGACACGAAATCGTCAAGATCATAAACAACACAAGACCGCCCGAGCGTGTACCGCCAAACAACGAGAAAGCGGCGACAGCTGGTTGTGCGCATCAGCCCCGGGTCATAGATACCTGTACATCATGCAAAGAGAAGGGTCATAGTGAGCATTTTGGCCCTTCCATACACACATACTCACATATACATAGGAAAATCTTCGAAGCAATGTCAAAATCACCACAGTAACCGTGCCCAGCAGCCCACCGCTCCTCAAACCGACAAGGAGAACGATCCGCGCACACCCGTAACCACGATTGACACCGGTATGTCCATCTTATTCCTTCCAAGGCTCTGCTGACGTAGTACGAGCAGATATCACCAATGTGAACGTGTGCATCACGAACATCGATATCTGCGAGATGCCACGTCACGCCGAATCGCAGGACATGCCGCTCAACGCGAACACCCGCCCGTGCAATAACGAATGCGGTGCCGCAAACGTACCCGCCCTCAGGTCGGCTCGCGTGTACCCTGGCCTTGTTGGACAAGAGTTCGTCATGGAGTTGGCAGTTACGCCCAGTTCCATGGTGATTCCCCCGGCTCATGCCGCCGATGGCAGTGTTTGCGGCGCGTCTACTGCGGCGCATGCAGATGCACCCATCTACGCCGCACCACAGCTTGGCGTGCACGGGTATGCATATGCGGGGCACCTTGGGATGCCCGTTGTCGATCCGCTTGCGCTGGGAGGTAGAACACGATCTCAGATTAGTGGTCGGGACTATCAAGTATGACATTTGTAAACGCCGACTCGCGAGTCCTTGTACCTAACTGATACAATCATTCCACAGCTAAGTCTTCAATCTCAAGATGCAGGACCTCGTTAATATCAGCAACATCCTCCATCCCCGGTGCATCAGGCACCTCCTCTGTATCTGCAAGATCTGTCGCTGTACCACCGGTCTTCGACATAAGGTCAGACATCCCCTCCGCTATCACATTTGGGATAGTGTGCTTCGCATTGCGGCCCTTCACGTATTCGTTAGTCTGGTTTGCTCTCATGTATGCTGCCAGCCGTTCAAATGTACGCCTCATGTATTATTGTGTATTAGCTGAATGATAGCCTCGGTAACAGTGCTTGAGTTGTGCTCGATGAGGCGCAGCAGTTGCTGGAGCTGCTCGGGAGACAGGGCTGACATGATGGATAGTTTATCGCGCCGCGGCGAGCATGTCTTACCATCGTTATTTAGTAACTACATCTCGTGACCATGGCTCCTGGCTGCGTGTTGACTGGCACGTCGAGGAGACCCTACGGTAGGTTTCTGAGCGTGCCGACAAAGCCGTGCGAGTGCGCCGAGATGTGCCGCGATTTCAAATTACAAGTTTGGCCAGCCGCTCTATCATGTTGTGCTCCTGGCTTTCACTGACCAAAAAGGAAGGTATGGGAATCTTTCATAAGCAAGAAGCCTTGCTCTATTTGGCATCATCCCCTAACTAGTGGGACTTAGTAGAATTAAGCCTTGCATCACGCCCAGGAGCTACAACGCGATACGAG